GTCAGCTATCGCTCGCTGCTGGAGATATTCTTTTCCTCCAGCACTTGGTCGATCCTCTGTTTCGGCTCGAGGTTTCCCTGCCACGAGCCCATTTCGCAGTCGCTGCAGCCAGCGCTGGCAGGACGCGGGCCCAAGGGCGGACAAGCTGCCACGTGCCCAGCAGCCCTGGCCCGAGGGACATCCCTAGGAGGGACTTGTCGCTGCGGCCGCCAGAACCGTCTACCAGCTACCCCACATAATGATTTTTGCTAGAAAAAGGAAAAAGGCCAAAATGTGGCTACGCAGCAAATATGTTATAAAAACAAAATATGAAAGCAATTTAGCCAGAGCCCGGCCTGGCACGGGCGCCCTCCTGCTCTTTAACTCTTTGCTGGCCCCAGTCGCAGCCAGGTGAAGGGGCAGGTGCCACGCAGGGGACAGCGACTACCGGCTGCTCTGGGTCTAGGCTGCTCTTGGTAGCCTGTACCAGGCTGCCCGCAGCTCGTTTTCCTGCGCTGGACAGAGGCCGGCCTCGTCCAGCCCAAACTAGCCCCATCTTTTAAACACAGTACTGCTTCGATGCCCGATTCGTGCAAGTAAAACACAATAAAATATTATTTTAAATTGAAATGACTAAACACCGTTTCCCAACTTGCCTCCCAAATGCCAGTGGTTCATGGGCTTGCGAGCTGAGCCGAGAGGTTGGGACGGGGGCCAACAACATCAGCATTTATTATAAGCTGGTCTGAGTCCCTAATTGAGTACACACAGGCCTTCTGGAGGGAGCTCCCTTTTTATTTCACCCCAAATTACTATAAGAGCTGTTGGGACAGGAAAAGAAAGAAAGAAAGAAAGAAAAAAAAAACCACCCAAACCCTGTGGCTCAATTTCCCCAGCGTTTCTTCATTAGCTTATAAAAGTGTGGAAAAAACGTGATTCGTGGAGGAGGGTGATAGGTGGAGAACTCCAGTGCGGCGCCACTGTCTCCGCGCAGAGCCTGCGGGAAGGCGGAAGGAAGGGGGAAAGGGGAGCGCGGGCTCCCCCCTGCCACGAGCGGAGCGGAGCCGACGGGAGCAGAAAGCAGCCGCCGCCAGTGCTGAGCTGGTCGGGGCTCCCTTCGGTTACTCTCCTCTAAGCTGTTCAAACACTAATAAATTACCCATTTACTTATATTGCCCAGATGTTTGCCATCTAGAAAAATAGATTATTATTTGTAGAAGGTTTTGTTCCATCACAGGAATCCCGTAAATAATATATTGGGATCAGAAAGCCCATGCACCACATGGCGGATTTTACACACGTGAGCACAGGGAGGACGAGAGAGGAGAAAGCGCCGGCCTTGCCCGGTGCAACCCAAAAGCCAAGTTTCACTGCAGGATGCCAGCGACCTGCTCCCCCGCTGCACCTCCATGCCCTCCACGGAGGACAGGGCTGAGCAGCAATCTCAAAGCCTGCTTATTTATCCACTGGATTTTGACCTTTTGTTTACATACACGCACATATATATAAACCTATATAAATACAACATTCTAACTCTTCTTTATATGTCATATTTTCCACGAAATTCTTCAGGGTCAATTGCAGGGTCTTCTTCAGTAGACCCTGCAAATACAAGCATTTTCCCCTTCCCATCTCTCCCCCCCCCCCTTTTTTTTTTTTTAAGGGTCTTGAGCAATGTTTAGAGAAAACTTTAGGGCTTTGATTTAGAGGCTTTGAGATGCTGAGCTTGTAACACCAGTGTCTTTCAAAGGTTGTGTTCCTTAGGCACTGAAACGCCTGTTAATATAAATGGAAATAAAAATAAATCTAAAATTTAAAAAAAAAAAAAAAGAAAAAAAGAAAAAGGAGGAAGAGGTTTTTAACATTCCCAAATTCTGACATCTTCTCCTGGTTCCGTAATTGACTTTCATTTATAGCCATCATGAAGTTTTGTAGGTTCAACAAAGCCATGTCTGCATACAGGGGGGGAAATAAATATCCAAGCAGCAGCCAGGCTCTGTAAAATTACTGCTGTAAAATTATGTGATTTGGGTCTCTGACTCCCTCACCTGCAAAACTGCAGTGAGGAAAGCTCCAAACGGGAGCAAGGGGGGCAAAAGAGGATGGTTAAAGGCCAGCAGCTGGTGGTGAGCCGCGCGGGAGGCTGCGCAGGACGCGGCGAGCGCGTTCACCGCTGCTCCGTGCCGTCCTTGGCACCGCTCATGGACGACTCTTGTCGGGCCGATCCACAGCGTCGCTCTCGCCCTGGCCAGCTCTCACCACGCGCCATGGGACAGAACGCTCTGCTCCTCCCTGCCGCCCGTCGGGGCTCCACCTGCAGCCCCAGCCCCTCTGCAAGGCGCTGGGAGAAACGGAGCGGGGAGAAGGTCCCCGAGGCCCCGAACGCCCCTGCGGCGGCTCTGCTCGTGGCAGCACGCCCTGAACCCCGAGCTGGCCCCCTCCTCACTTGCTCACGGAGGTGCAAAGGAGCCCGTGTTTCTTCTCCTCTCATCCTGTGCCAACTTCCCTCTGCTCTCACCCCTCCTCCTGCTCCCCGGCCCCTGCTCAGCCACTCGCTCACTAGGGGTTTGCTCCCAGGAACCAGATCAGCACCAGGGGTGGGGGGAACTGTTTTCCCAACTCAAAGAGGTGACAATTATTCCACTCCTGCGGCGGCCTAAGCAGTATTTACAATTTATTTATTTACATAAAAGCCCTGACAAGCTCACTTATCTCTGGAGGGCATGAGGACACCTCCTCGCGCCGCTGCTCCGCACAGTGCATTGCTCACTTCACTATCTTGGAAAATGAACCTGAGGATCTTCGGCTTCTCATGTGGATGCTGTAACTCAGCTGATCGTAAGGCATAAAAGAGAACTAAGTGACTCTTTATCACTGTATATTGATAAATAAAATCGACGCCAAGCATTAGAACACAAGCTGACTTCTCCTATCACCAGGAAAAACAAAGCAAATAGCTTTATTTTCCTCTTCTTAAAATAAGTAAACTGCACCTAAATAAATCCTTATATCAACAATTTACCGGCAGGCTTTTATCAACCCTGAGTAACAGATTATAGCCCAGTATTTGATAAATCATCCCGGGAGCCTGAGCAGTCTCAGGGCTCTGTCAGCAGGGAGCTTTCAGGCAGCCCGCAGTCCCCGAGCAGGCTGCACTCACCAGCTCCAGCTCCAAACCCGCCGTCCCCACAGCACTGCCAGGAGGAACAAAAGAGCCCTGGTGTCCTAAATAAATGGGAACCTAAATAAATGGACCAAGCAAGAGATTTGGTAGTTGACAGATCTTGAAACTATTTTCTGTTTTTTCTAAACTATTTTCTAGTGTAAAGCAATTGCTGCCTTAAGGAGAAAAATGCCAGTCTTTTATTCTAAGTAATTAAACAAATAGAGATTCATCTTCTATTTCCTTGAGAAACACATGGAGCGATAGATTGGTATCCAAACCTGCCTTTTTGTAGTCTGCAGTTCAAAAACAGGGTGGCAGTTTCCTCCCTGCACAGTGACTAACCCCCTGCATGAGTCAATCTGTCTCTCCTCCTCGGTATTCCCGCAAGGCAGAGCTGCTGCAGGAGCGGGAGGCTCCCCCGCGAGCAGCTCAGCCCACGCGGGTCGCTGCTCCTCGGAGCCGCTCTTGCGAAGCCCGTTGCCCTTCGCCGGTGCCAAGAAGCAAATCTTGGCCACCTAGAGCAGCCTGTTCCACATGTTGGCTCACACGGCGTTGAGCAGCCGTGTTAACGGAGATGGATAGCGCTGTCAAACAGGAAGCTGGCTCACCAGGAGGGAGGCAGCCCGATACGCTGACCTTCTACATTCCGAAAAAAGTGTCCCTAAAACAGCACGAAATGCTGTGTATTAAAAATAAAACTACCTTCTCGCCTTGCTTTTATTACCCTGTTTTGCAACTAAACACATTGGAGTTGAGCATGAATTTTGTCTGTACCGGGCTCCCGAGCCTCTCTCCAGAGCAGAGGCTGGCAGAGGAAATGAATCATTATCACCCCATTTGGGAAGAAGTTTGTACAAAAAGCCCTGCACTATTAACCACTGCCTAGATGTCCTGGATTCAACTTTACTGCTGCTCCCCTTTCATTGTGACTTGTTTCCATGAACATGAAATAACTCAAGGCAGCAGGTAAAATCCAACCCCCCAAGCAGAGCCACTGTTAAACTGCTCAAAAACTGCACCACTTCTATTGATGATATAGAAATGAAACTGAAAGTTATGGACTTCTCATCCAAAATGAAATAATCTGCTCAGTGTAAGAAATTCTCTTGAAATGTAGTTTGTTACAGAAAAATTTCTCCCACCCCTCCCCTTCTTGCCTTTAGGGCTTTTTTTTTTCCTAGCTGGTAGTTTCAACACAGAGAGGAAAACTATGGGTTTTTTTTAAGTTTTCCCTGCTGCTGGAGAGTTGCCTCCAAGCACAAGGCACCGCAGAGTCCAAAAAAGGCTTTGCAGCAACATATTAGGAAAGTCAGACCACAGATATCAGCCTGCACTTTAAGCATTCAAACTAAATTTATATTGAAGTATTTATATGCACATATATGAGAATGCATGTAATATGTATATAGAGAAGGCTTGTATGTGCATACTCTTGCTATAAAATGGTATATTTTATACACAGAAAGACCGTAATCCGCACGGAAAGGCTACTCAATATGGCCCTGTTGCAAGAAGAAACACCAGGTACCCCCTAGCTGAACATCTGGAGCTTCCATCGGGCTCTCCTGCGATGACTCTGCGAGGCCGTAGCTGCCTTGTGATACAGGACAAACGTGCCCTGCATTTGCTGGCTGATCGCTGCCACCGTATCTCGCACCCGAGTGAGACCCAGCTAACGCCGGTCAGGCGGGCTGGCACGGCTGGGGCCGTGGGCTGCCCAGTTTAAGCAATCGCTACAACGGAGCTAACCGCTTCCCGGACTTGCCACCCACTTCCTCGCTTTGTCCTTGCACGGCACAACCTCGGGGGCTCTCCTCTGCGAGCAGAGAAGAGGGACAAGAACGTTATCGAGTACCTTGTGCCTGAGCTGCAGAACTGTGGGAATACCCCAGAGCCAGGAGCGCTGTCTCCACCAGCTGGCTAAAGAGCACATCTTTGCGAACCAGAACGAACTCAGCATGCTCTTCTCGATTATCGTAGTCAAGAGAGGCATCTGACTGCTCCACCACACAAAAGACGGGAATCATCAAACCTAGATGAGAAAAAGATTCAGAAAAGAAAACATCGGTCAGGAAAGAAAGGAACAAGAAGTGTGTCATACATCTCTGATTACAGTTGCAAATTAAAACACCTCCTAGAAGGCTTGGTTTCGTGGAGATCTGCCTTTCTTCCCTGTGGGATAGCTTTTGTTTTCTTTCCAAGGGAAATACTGAAGTCTCATCACTTGACTCATTTAAAAACCACACTAATAGCTCCAGAGAATAGAGTTCAGGGACAAATCACAGTCAGCAGGAGGACGAACTACATTTCCTAGTAAGACCTTTTCAACATTTCCAAAGTTTCCTACCATTCCACTAACCATCCCATTCCTCCAGGTCGGTGTTTCCAAAAACCGGACACACGCAAACACGCCAAGGAGGGTCTGGTGCAGGGGCAGCTGAGGGCCCCGCTGGCCAGGGAGGCTGGGGTCGCTCTCCCGCGCACGCGTCCCCCCTCGCCAAGCCCCCATCGTCTCCAGCAAGCGAAATTCATTAATTGCTTGCATACCATTGGTTAGCCCCTAGACATGCCAGGGAATACGGGGGGCAAAGTCAAAGCTCAGTGTAAAGCTTTCCCACGTGCACTGTCTAGGGCTGGTAATACTGCCAGAAAGCCTTACTTCGCACCCCTGCTCTTTGAAATTAAATATCATCAGTTCTAAAGGTAATAACTACAAAGAACAACAGAGTAAACTTACGTAACGCTACACACAAATCACTACATTCCTGGATTGGGCACTTCTTTATGGGAAAAAAATGGAAAAAAAAAAAAAAACCACCAAATACGTTTCAGTTCTCTTTCTGTTCAAAGTCTATTAACTAACTTGCAGATTTTCTACTACCAGCAGCTTCCACACCTAGGAGGAAACGGGTCCCTGTCCCTTCAGAGGAGGCATGTGCCCTGGGACAGCAGCAGGAACACCAGCAGTAGCTGCCCAGGGACTTGGATCCTCCTCTCTTGGGTCTGCAGGGACCGGATTTACCCAGAAACTCCCTGCGAGACACAGAGCTGTCCGCGGCGCGGCGACCGGCTCCAGCGCCGCGGGCAAGCGCCGCCTAAGTAAGTTACGGCATCGTGTTGATGCTGCTCCCGTTTCCTCTTTGATTCTGGGCTAAACTGATGCATTTTGCAAGTTCAGGCAACCCGTTTCTAATACCCTCAGGTCTATGTGGTGAAAGAAAAATCTCTGGGTGCTTTCCTGGAAAGACAGTGTGAAGCTGCTCCTATTCTCACTGAAGTCAGTGACAAAATCCCTATCCTCTTCCAAGATTTAAAAAAAAAAAAAAAAAGAAGCCCTGTTTGACCATAAACCACTTAACCGGCTAAAAGGAAACGTACCCTCCTACGTGACAAACCCCTGCTGCCCAGTGTCCCACTTGTCACCGCGCTTTCACAGGACTGTTATCGCCTCAGCAAGAGGCGAAGCCCAAATGCCGGCGCTGCCCCTGGTTGTGCGAAGCACCTCTTGGCAAGGCAGCGCGTGTGGGGGGATGCAAGCAGCTGGCAGGGGTGCCCCAGCCTCCCCGGCCCCGCTGCCGGATGCTTCTCCTGCGATCCAGCTGCCTCCCTGCCTCCTCAACGCGCTGCTGGCACGGAGGACGCGCAGGACCTGCCCGCCATGACTTTCCACGTGGTCCCTTCCCGCTGGTGGGGCCTCTGCTCCAGAGTTTTTGCAAGACCATCTCTGAGCCCAGTGACCCAGCGCAGGTGACGATAAGCTGCTATTAGTGCCTTAAAAACAGAGAGCAAAGGGCACGTTACAACATCTGCCATCGCTAACACACCGAAGTGCCTCTCGCTGCAGCTTCTGGAATCGCAGTACCAAACCTGCCTCGCCACAAACACAGCGCAACTTCTTCACAACAAAGGCTCACTCCTTCGTCCTCTGCTTCACATCAGAGAGGGCAAAGCTGTAATTTATCTAACAGATTTATTACCTCTGACCTCTCTCTTTCGTGACGTTACCTGAAAATTAGCTGGATTCTTTCTGTACATTGCCGGAGCGGCAGCGCACGCACACCGTCCCCAGGCTCTTCCTCCTCATGGCCGGGCGCCTCCAGGATGCTTTCACCCCGTGCGGGGAGCACCTTCGCCAGCGTGAGGGGAACACGAGACAAGATCCCCACAAAGCTTTGGGGAGAACACGCAACCCCCTCATGTTCCAAGGTTTTGTGAACACAATTTTACTGCTGAGACTCTTCTGAGGTGCAGAGAAAATAAGGAAAAGTTACATAGATACTTGAGAAACCCGTGTCCAAACACACATTTCCCCTCCTTGCCCAGACCCCTCTACAGCTATGTTCTGCCAGGGAACAAGTCCTTCCTGGAAACAAGAGGAAAAGGCAACGAGCAGTTCACTCGGGAAAGGAAACCCCGTCCTCTCCTCTGCCCAAAGCACTCAAAACCGTGAAGCCAATTAGAAGAATTATCAAACTCAAGCGATGCTGCTCCCCGGACAATGTTTTTGGCTCAGATTTACAAATAGAATCCGCAAACTTCTAACCACCAGCTAGAAGGAGAAGAGAAGGCAGATATTCAGGGAGTCCCACGCTGTTCCTCTTGCTCATCTTCCAAAGACGCTTTGCCCATGGCAATGCTGCAGAGCACGTCACTAATCCCAAACTGTAAGCACTGGACTTCCTTGCACTACCCCTTCCCCATCAGCACCATGGACGCGGCACCGAGGACCGCGAGCGAAGGGACGCGGAGAGCCGAGGAAGGAGGAAGGCAGCGGCGCAGCCACCCGCCTCTACAGCCCATTAAACAGGGAGCACGGCTGGTTTGTCCTAGGAAGCGCAGCGTGAGGACCCGCTGGCGACCGGAGGCACCGGTAACATTTGTGTCTTCCTAGATTAAAATCTCTTTCCATCAGCACAAGTTTTGAGCCCCGTCTAGGTGTTATTTAATTTAATCTAATTTGAACAATTTCCAAACATCAGCTTGATTAATTTCAACAGCACGGTGTTGTGGAAAGATTTACTGTACAGGGGTTGTCTAGCAGGGAATTAATAAAGGAGCCAGTTCTTAGCCGTGAGTAACATGAGGCTTTAAGACTTCCCGGATTTCTAGTGGGAATACTTCAGAGCACAAGCATGTTTTCTTCTGGGAGTGAAATCCACCAAAATTATTAAAAACTGAGATCAAATGGTGGTGTCAAACCCAAAGGAAATCATTCTGGAGTGATTTTTATCAAACGAAGAAAGGGAAAAATAAAGTTTGTGTTGCTGCTGCTGTGCTCTGGGATGTTTGTTGTGTTGCGTTCTGCAGAGCGCACAAACACACACAGACCCTCGCTTTCTCTCTGCTGAGCTTAAGCAGACTGATTTGCTGCTTAGCTCTCTTCTCCTTTCTGTTAAAGGCACGTGAAAACTGAAGCTGAATTGAGAAAGCTGCTTTAAAAGAGATCGAGCAATGTCCGCTCGGCACAGGAGAGCTTAGCCAGCTCTCCCCGTGCCTTACACCTCCAAGGGAAAAGGCCGAAAATGCTGAACTTGGGCCACTCTCGATCCTTCAGCAACACCCGAACTTCTCCATCAAAGCCACCCAGCCCCTATCCCAGTGCTACCCGAGTCCATCACATCCCCCCGAAGAGCAGAACGCCAACAGTAGCAGCAAACAAGCGGAGCTTCGGGAGGCGCCACTGCCAGGCTGCCCGTAACTCTCGGAGAGAATTAACCAGCACAGGGTATAAGCTCTTGGCACGTAACCTGTTTACAGTAAACGCCTGCTGCGGGGAAAGGGGCTGCACTGCAGCCGTTTACCTACAAGCAGCAGCTCATCCCAGTCTCGCTACGAGGCTGCAGGTTCCCTCGCGTCTGTGCCGGGACGGCGCGGTGGGGTGTCACCTACCGCCGAAAAAGCCGAAAAAGCTGTAAGCACACCCTGAGAGGAGGCCTGCAAAAGACAGGCAACCCTATCGGCATCACCACAACTGCAGGCTTATCCCCTCCAAAAAAAGAAAAAAAAAAAAAAGTAATTGGAGCAGAAAAAAAAGGTTTTGTTTAAAAATAAGAACCTTACTCTCTGCCAACCCATAGGTCTCCAGCTTGTTGCAGACAAAATGCAAGATATCTGATTTTGCACACAGGCAGCACTGTGATGCTGTTAAACCCCTTCTCTTCGAGGCTTTATAAGCCTGTTGCAAATTATGTGTTCCAGGATGCAATTTGGTAAAGAAGGTCTTGGGCCACAGATGATTTTAATACAATGTTTGCCAAAGAAATAAACAAAAAAAGTCATGTTAAGTAATATTACTTTCTTAGGAGGACCAGAGGAAATAAAGTAAGGACAATACCTTTCTCCTCCTCCTCAGCTATTTTTTCTGGCTCTAAATATTCAATAAATCTGTAGGCAGGAAATGCGTTTCTATGTATTATATTTTAGCCAATGGTGAATGCAAACCACAAGATATTATTTACATCCTTCTTCAGCTTCCAGACCTTTCTGTGGCTTCAATTTCCCAACCATCACCACTCTCCCAGAGCTCAGGAAATTTTATAAAGAAGTCACCACGGTCCCTGCAGATGTCCCTGCTCCTGGCAGCCACCTAGCCCTGGATCCTGCTCCGGTGTGAAATACAGCTTCCCCTTCCACAGGAAACACTCTGGGCCGCCAGCCCACCCCAAAACTTATTAGCAACTTTGCAATTTCATTTGATAAGACTCGAGTTTCTCAAAACGCCACACAGAATTCAGCAGAGAGAAGCATGGAGGCCTCCAGCCCTGGGGAGCAGCACCCCAAGGGGGCAGCCCTAAGGGCACCTTTCCCAAGGGAAGCAGCTGAGTTATTGCAACTTGCTCCCCAGCTGAAAAAAGGAAGAAAAAACGCCCCACAGCAGCACTTTGCAATATGAACTAATGGAAAATACAAAGCCAGTGAAAGAAACCCTTTCCAATTAGATTGGTATTTAGAAAAAAATTTAAAAGTCATCTTAAGCCATTAATTTCCTATAAGTTCTAGCTCTTGGTTTCAGGGACTTAAAAACAAGTTGAG